TCGGAGAATTCCGGCAGGTAATGGGAGAAAAGGGGGGGGGGTAGGGTTTGGGGTGGGTAGTGGTGAGAGCGACGGACCTGATCAAAGGAAAAGCCAGTTGAGTGCGGAGCGCAATAATAAGGGCTCTTGTTGTCGGAAACGAAGGGAATTAATTTATTCCAAGGCTGACGTTGTTATTATTGTTAGGTTTGTTTAATCTGTGGTGTCTTTGTGAAGTGACGGTTTAAAGCTGACAGCTCTGCAAATGTTGGACCCCTAATTTTCTCGACCCTGGGTTGCTGCAGAGTGATGTGTCTTTTAAGAGCACCTGAGAGGAAGCAAAGTGTGTTACCGCTTTGCAAAATCTCAAAGAGCACTTCTGTCTCAGAGTTTTTAAATGACACTTGCTGTTATTATGATGATGCTAGCAGGTGAGATTGATCTGTTCTGATGTAATCTCAAATTGCCTGAGTGGGCCTGGGTGGATGAGATCTGCCTGAGATTGATGAGGTCTAATGGAGTCCTGTTTGGGTGCTCTTGATACCTTTAAGATCCGATGATACTGGCGCGCCACTGCATCTTAATTCAGCTTAATTTAGCCACAAATTACTTATCAACACTTGCGCCTTGTTGAGTTGTGAGTTTTCCACACTGTGGCTTACGCATGTGTAATGTTTCAGCATGTCTGAGGAGTTATATATGAAGATAACATGAGACACAGCAATGTGCATAATGTGTGATGCAAATCATCCCCAGGGCTCTGGTGCTCATGGTTGGATCTTTGTTGGGAGTTTAATCAATCAGCCACAGCGCCTTAATTAATCGGCATGATGAACAGGAGAAATAATTGGTTTTCTGCCAGATGTGAATCTGTTGCAAACTAATGCCAGCCAATCAGGATCCAATTTATAATCACAAAACTGATCTGGACGACAAAACACTTAAAGGATCAGAGAAGAATAAACACACTAGACAATGGAAGTAATATGGCTTTGGCTTTGGATTTAAAATTCTGATAGGAGGCAGTTGCTTCTGCATGTTGTACCGAGGTATTTCGGATGCCTAATTGGATCTACATGGTGTCAAAATGATCATCAGTCTCATTGATTGAATAGGATGGGAAATGTGGTGGAATGTCATTGTCTTTTTTCCTTTAAAAAACAAACATATAGTTAATTAATTGGCATGCAAACAATTAATTGGCACCTCCCCAGATGTTTCTGAGAGAATCTGCAGAAAACTAATGAGGGGTGTCTGGTTTTCCATTGAAGCAGCAGATGTCATTAACTGCAGCCCACACTGACAATACTGATCTGCCCCACTCCAATCAGACCAGGTAACCAGTGGCTGAAACAAATGGAAAAGCACTGGAGCCAGTAAATAGCCAGGGTCGAGATTGAAAACCACTGGTTTAGCCCAGTGCCAGCGGATCCAAATGGAAAAATAGCTTAGGCCTCTTATTAATGTCACAGTGGCTAGGCGGTAATTCCCCCAGGCTCTGTGTACCTCGGCTTGTTAATGAGTCACTGCTTATCAGTCAGCCTTGTTAACAGGCAGAGGCCTCCCATCCAAACCGCCTACTGCTATTGTGTGCTAGCCGTACTGTGTATTAGCCAAATGTTCCCCCATCTTGGCACACAGGAAGTCAACAGTAAACAACAGCAGCACACACAGGAAGTGGGCATCGAGCCAGTGAGAAAGAGCTGGTCCAGGGGGGAAGGAGCCCATTTTGTGGCAGGATAAAGTGAACCGCTGGCAGAGGCACACACATGCGGAGCCCTCCCGCCTGTAAATCTTACCACACTAACGATTGGTCCACACTGCTCCCGTCCTTTAATCCTCATTCATTATTGGTCTCAGCTGGAAGCATCGGGCTTCATGCACTTGTTCTGACCAGCAGAACTCGTTGAGGTAAATAAACTATTAGGCATGTTTTCTTGTCACAAATGCAAACATTCTCCTGGGGTCTGGGATCAGGCTGCCATGGAGTTGAGGGCCAGGTGGCTGATGGGAGGCCATAGCGAGCTGCACTACACACTGTCTGTTGAGTGCTCAGGCTGACGGACCCTCCGCACTCCACAGCAGCCCCGAGGTAACTGGGTCAGCAGTACAGAACCAGGGCACAGCCGGCCAATTGCATGCCTAATCTGTGCCCTTCTGAGAGGCACTTTCCATCCGCAGCGCATGGCTGCACATCCAGCTGTGGAAATGGATATGTCAAATGGAGCGCAATTAGTGTCTCCCCGATTCGTTCACTCGCTCTAAGGAAGCCTGGTCACAGATAAATCCAGAAAAAAAAAAAACAGAGTTACTGCTGTCCTTTCCCTGACTTTGACATACATCAAATGAAGATGGGACACTGGAAGTAGAAGAGTTGGGAGTCTAGGGTTGGACAAGAATTTAAGCAGGCATGACATGAAAAGGGACAAACAGTCTGCATGTTTTTAATTCACTGTGGACTCGGAGTATTGCAGTGATGAGCAGTCCTGCTCTCTGATGGCTCATCTGCTCTTGCATTGATTTGCTGAGCTAATCGTTTTTCCTCTCTGATACATAACATTGAATTATTTATGCTAAGTAGACCCTTCTGTCCCAGGGCCTCTTAGTGTGGAGATCTCCATTATGACGGCATTATCTGACTGACCACCCCGCCCTACTCCATCTTCTACTTAACAGCTCTGCTGCTGTGGCACAACAACACCAATCAGACAGATTGGAGCAGATGTGAGCGATGGACCAGTGCTCTGCAGCTTACACACATTTTCCTCTGAAGCTGCAACACCACTGTGTGTCACATTTCTCAAATGTCTGGAAACTACATAGAACAGTCAACACAAGATTCATATATATATATATATATATATATATATATATATATATACACACACTTCCCTGCTTGCTGAATCTTTGGCACTGCTTCTCTGCGTTGTATGTGAGCTCCCATGAGACCTGAGTTCCTCGCTTGCCAGAGACAAAGTCTAAAAATTGTCAGTATTTCTTGCGCCAATTCCACCAACAAAATTCTTACTTCAGTGATTTAAAAAATTGCATTCTTATTCTTACAAATGCCTCTCGAAGTAGCAAAAGAATTATAATTCAGTTTTTTTGACAAAAGTTATTCTGATTGATTCCGCTGCAGAAATGTTATTAGTTTTGTTGCAGTGTTGTGAATATTAGTATTTGATTATGCTTCGATTGCAAAAATTAATGACAAGAAGACCTTGAGTACAACTAAATGGTTTACAACATGCACACCGCAAATCTGTTAAGTCAGCACTCCATCTCTGCTTTCCTTCTCCTCTCAATTGCACCCTTTGACGTGTTTTCTCATCTCCTAAACACTGTCAGACGTCCCAGGCTTAATTACCTTCTTTGACTGACATGATAATGTAAAACAGCTCTTAGGTGAAACCAAAGCAGGAATTGGTCATGCATGGTCAGGCCTCCCACTAGGCACACCTTAATCAAATGTGACATGAGTCTGAATGCGAGCCAAAATCGTTTTCGGACCCAAATAACGAACCACTGCCTGGGTCTCAATGACGAGCTACACGGTCGGGGTCAGCACTCTGAAGAGAGATTGATATTTCATCATCAGCACCTCAATCTGGAGATTGTTTGTGTATTTCTCATCATTTCTTCAACAGCTTTCTGGGGCCTTGACAGGCCTCCATTTGCATTTGTTTAGCAGTGACCTCATCCTGGCTTCTTGGCATAGCCAGATTGTTTCTCACTTTTTGCTGCACTGACCACTGTGAGCTCACACTGACACCTCTCCACTTTCCCCACATTTTATATCCAAACTTGCGGAAACACAAGCATGCATAATTCAAGGGAAAGTAAAAACAGCTGATGTGGATAAACGAAGTGGAAGTAAAGTAAATGTAGTGCGTGAGATTGCATATCTGTGTGCAAACACGTGTACACTGTGCAAGTGTGTCCATACATGTGCATGCACTGTGCACTCACGGATGTATTCAGATGTGTTAAATCGTGTGGGTGTGCACAAGTGAGTGCAAGGGGCCTCTGAGAATACAGTATATATTGCAGATGCAAATCATGGAACGTTCATTAGAACCCTTCTTGCCTTTTGTGTGGTCCTATGGTTCTATGCCAAACACTCTGCGCAATTAAACCCTTACTGTAATGAGAAAATACCAACAGGATTTTACCTGAGTCAATCAATTTTCTGTGGATTGAGGGACAATCCTGATACGCCTGTTTTCCATTGGCACGATTTGCCCTCTAAAGGTTGTATTACCGGCAGCCAGTCGCTTGAGAGTTATGTAATTGGAAAAGCACATTGGACAGTGGATTCCTGTTCACTATGTGCTCGCAGCGGGAATGATATCATTACAAAGTGCTTCTCTCATCAAATCCTCTCTTACCATCCGCTTTCAGCCACGCCCAGCTCATCACACACTGAGCTTCAGCCATGATGAGTGTCATGTGTCTGCACCCTGTGTGTATGTTACGTGTGCACACTACTGTGTTGCTATTTGAGAAATGATCAGATGATTACTGCTTATCTCTAGGTGGCATAACCCTCTGACACAGATATGGTTCAGGCACACGTGAGAGACAGAGATGCTGAGCAGGTGAACATGAGAGGAAGAATGCTAGCGCCTGGAGTGTAAGCTTGCTTTGTACTTATAAGTGATTAAAGATGTCACAGAGAGAGGGTAAAACAGGAGGAAGCTACTGGGGCAAGCGAGCTACTCCAGCAAGGACCTACAAGTGTGTGAGGACTTCTGTACCCACGTGCAAGTCACACACATTCCTCAAAAACAACGGCAGAAATTCCACTGGGGTCCGGGGAGGTGGGAGTGTCCCATGTGCTTATTAACGGCTCTCTGATTCCCTTGTCATAATACAGGAAACAACAAAAAAGCCTCAAGTCAACAGATAAGGGGCACCACCAGAGACAGAAAGAGAGGGTCGGGGAGGTCAGGGGCCCTGGGACAGACCGCGAGATGAAGAGAATAGGAGGCTGATAGATAAAGAGTGAGAGAGGTGCTTACCGTAGATAATGTTGCTGTGAACCGCAGCTGCGAATAGTACTGTCAATAAGCTGACACTCCATAATGCGGAGGGGGCTGATGGGAAGGCCATGGTCGGGCGCACAGATCCGCCTGTCTCACTGAATCCTCAGGAGGGCAGAGGAGCTCTGGAGTGTCACCTGCAGAGAGAGCAGTGGAGAGAGATCAGGAAAACAAGCAGGGCAAGCCGAACGGCCACTAATTGCGTCCCTTGCCATTGGTTGGCTGCTGCTGAATAAACGCTTGGCCCACCCGTTGCTCACGCGTTGCTCCATGGGTATTCATCGATCTGCTTGTGTCATACCATACTGAGAGGCGATTGAGAGAGACGGGGGTAAGAGGAGGGGGTGGGGGGTGTGGCGATTGAGCCAAACAGCGGAAAGGATGTGATGATGGTGTATAGGTGGTAATGAGGGTAGAAGAGGAGGGGGGGGGGTTCATATTACTGTGCAATTTATTCATCCACTTTAACAAGCTGTGCGCATGTGGAGTGAAGGAAATCGAGTGTTTTGGACAACCCATAACCGAGCCCCAACTAATTCACGCTAATTGGAAATAACGCAAAGCAACAATCCCCCAATTGCTCGTAAAAAAAAAAAAAAAAACACAGAGAAGAGGGAAGAGGAAAATACAACACGGCGGAGAGATGCACCTGTCGCCCGCTGAGAATACACGGTGCGCTCTGCAAAAGACTGGAAACGGACAGACGTGCATAATAGCAGCTCAGATACTCGCTCTCCCTCTTTGTCAAACACACACACACACACACACACACACACACACTCTCCCTCGTTTTCTCTCACGCACATCCCTTAAAATAGCAATGGCCTACGCCGAGGTAAGATCTCGGTCCATCTGCGAAACGCTCCCTCTTTGCCAACGCTGACAGGGTGCCGTGGCAGGAGTGTTGCCTGCGGGACGGGCGGGCGGTTAAGGGCGGGGATAGAGGGTGGGATGGAGGAGTGGGGTGGGGTGGGGTGGGGGGCACGGGATGGGATGTGGGGATTGGAAGGGGTGGGGTGGTGGTGGTGGTGGTGGGGAAGGGGCTGTGTTTATTGTTGCTCCAGCCCTTCCTGTTGAGTGATGGCGAGAAATGAAAACAAAACTAGAACAAGTGCATCCATGGGAAATAACCCGGACACTCTGGGCGTGATTTAACACAAGTTCTTGCCGTCTGCTCTTGAGTGGAGAGTAATAATAGTAATGGTGATAACAGTGATAATAATAATAACTGCTCGTGGTGGCCTGCACCGCTGCGACGGACCGCGGGAGCACCGGAGTAATGTTGCTCAGGTCGGAGCCTGTTTCCTCACACCTTCTCCCGCACTTGCAGAAATATCTGCTGCTGACGGGATGAGATTCAGAGAGTCTTGTGAAAGGCTGGGGGAGAGGTGGCTGCTGCACACAGCGCGCAGTTGTGATGCTTTTTTTGTGCGGCGCGATAGAGCCAGCAGTGCCGGGAGAGGAGAGGATGCGAGAGGAGTCGGGTTCAGAGCAGGCAGCCCGAAAACTCAACGCATATTCAGAGTAAATTATAAAACACGGGGGATTATACAGCTCTCTCCCTGGGCAGGCATAACGGATTACACACGCGCGCACACACACACACACACACACACACACACAGCCACCTACCCAGAGTGCGCACACAGACACATTCCTGGAGACGAAAAAGCGTCAGCACTGACCGGTGTCTCCTGTCCGCCCTACAGGCTACAGCCTAACCCCTGGACAACATTACAAACTGCGAAGCAATGCACGGCAACAACCACACACGCACACACACCGTTATATTCCGCCTCCGGAGTCGGGTTTTGTTGGCGCTGGTCTCCAATAAGGTCCCCAGTACGGTCACTCCTTTGATGCGCAGCAGTCGCTCGTCCGGAGCCTTCTCTCAATCTGTTTTTATCGACTTTTTTATCTCCTTGTTCCTTCTCCTGACTCTTTGTTTTTCTTGCTTTTCCTCCCGTGCTCTCTCTCTCTCTCTCTCTCTCTCTCTCACTCTGTGTTTGTATCGCTTGTCTCTCTCTCGCTCTCTCTCCACGGCTGCCGTTCACTGCAGCAAAAACAGTCTGTCTGAAAGACGAGAGGGAGGGGAGGGGACAAGGGAGGGAGGGACGGATGGAGGGAAGAAGGGGAGGGAGGGGATTTTAATACGATTTGGCCCGTACCATCGGGATAACAGGGCCAGAGCAGGGGCCTACTGGCTGAGAGCAACATGAAGAAGATGGAGCAGATAGAGTAGTGTGATCTCACCATACCGAGAAATAACCATAATGTTGCTATAATACTCCACAGTGAGTCTACAATGACCTTATCGCACTTTATGATATTTTACTATCTCCTGTGGTGGCACATTACTGTAGGATTCCCCGTGATAGCTCTGCTCACTCCATCTAAAGCTTTCACACTGAGTAGGTCTGGCAGCCTGTATCCCTCTTCACTTTTATCATAGGGTTAGACCTACATATCTCCTATAAAGTGAAGCAGCAGAGGTCATCTGGAGTTGATTGTGACGGTTCTCAGTCGCCTATAATGTTTCTTATCATTGATATTATGGAGCTATTATCCCTATCTTGCAGATAGGCCCGCTGCTATTTCCCGTAGGCCTGATAATTTTTTGCAATATGGTAATGATATTACTGAGTCCTTGGCCTTGTGGAGTTATGGGACTTTTTCCTGTGTCATTGTATCTCCATATCCTCACAATACTGCTGCCTGCCTGCGCCTTAAACAGTCACTTTATTGGGACTTTTCATCTGTTATCACCTAAGAAAATGTATCATACTCCCATCACGTCTACAGCCTACATCATAATGTTTATAACCCCAGGGACTGCATACAAACTTTATTATACGGTAGTCTATATATTCCTGACATTTCACGCACATGCATCAGGACCGTTTGGGAATCAGGATCCAGGGGATGGAAGGGGGGGAGTGGAGGGGTTGTTCAACTTGCCAGAGAGGATTAAGGATTAGTTTTTACTGGCGGATTAGGTCTGTGTGTGGGGAGGCATGATGGGGTTAAACATGGATGGCGGCAGCCGCACGACAACCCAATCAGTGGTGACAAACTGAAACCGGGGAGGTGGGTTTGGAGAAAACACAAAATAATAAAAGCCATGGGGAGCCGGGAGGGGTGAGAGTCGGGGCGTTTGTGGGATCTTCAAGCAAGCAGCTGCTTTCTCCACTGGAAAAAAAATAAGTAGGCTAGTGCAGCTCTGGGCTTTCACGATTTGGGTAATGTAGGTTTTTCTAATGCAGAAACTAAAGTCCACCTTCAGGGGTCCTTGAAAGGATTCCAGAAAGGTCCCCACTCTGATTCCACTAAGTGAAAACCACATAATGACTATTGCATTCCTTATTCTCCATTTGCACCGCCACATTGTTATAATTCAATACAAAATCTGCATTCAAAAATGTTGAGACGACACCATTTCCTGGCACTATGAGTCATTTATGTTCAAAGTAAACCGGAGTCTTTTTCTCTCCCTCTGTCTCTAACCCAAATGGGAGAGTAGAGATGCAGCATCTGGCATCATTAAACACTTGTTATGAGGACGGAAAAGGCTTTAAATGTTTTGTTGTTGGCGCTGCATTAGAAAAGCTTTTGCTCCGGCTTAAATGAGTGGACAGCCCCAGGTGCTGAAAGCGTGCTCGAGCGAGCGTGCGCGCGTGTCCACTGACTTTCACACGACGAGGCTGCAGGGCGCTGTGTTGTCCTGCGGTGCATACGTGATGGCCGTATAGAAGACCGGAGCCCGAGCATGAAGCCCTGGACAGTAATAGGCTGGTAACGAAGACGTGCTGTGCTGCTACACCGGAGCTGTGGTCTCAGGCTTTTCCCCGTTTGAAATCTGCATATTAAAGCGCTGACCTTTGCGCGCTGAAAAGGCTCGTGCATGTGAGATTCATAAAACAATACATCCCACATGCACCTGTGTATTGGGCCTCTGCAAAATAAACACATCCCCCAGTCTTTCCATCCATCTATCTATCCTTCCATCCTCTTTCGTCCACCTATCCGTCATATCTCTTGTAAGACACACAGTAGTTGCACAAGCAATAAAACAGCATCTCTACTTTTTTCCATCACGCATCCAAAAAGCCACAACCTTTTCATCCACATCTCTGCCGGGACTCGAACCCGGAGCCTCTGGATTAGAAGTCCAGCGCGCTATTCCATTGCGCCACAGAGACTGTGCCACATTTTTTTCCGATCAAAAGCGGGTTTATACTCCCCCTCCCAGCCCTGCGCAGCATCCTCACCATCCCTCAGCATCAGGACCGCAGCCCTGTGGAAGATAATCAGCCGCCCGGTAGGGGGTGCTGCCGGCGCGTAATCACTAGTCTCTTAAGGCTCATAGAGGAGGCGAGGGCTCCTGCTCTCCATCCCCCATTGCTTCCTCACGGGTTATCTCGTCAAAACATCATAATGGTGATATTATCGGAGCAAAACCAAACGATGGAACATCTTGCATTGTAAACGCATCGATAACTACGAGGCAAAGTGCTCACACCTTGCAGGGAATAGCTCCAGTGAACAGCCCATGTTTTTATTACCTCAGTTACTGTTTCACTTTGGAAAAAAAAACATGAGGAATATTTCTACAGGGTATGGTGTGAACAAACTAAAAGCAAATCAAGTCTTAAACCCTGCAGAGCTTGAGCAATTTTTCTGTCCATCACAATAGAAAATTGCAGTCCGATGGAACTCTAGCTCAGATGGAAATGTGCCTGTAACATGGATTAGGCTCGATGTAGGGAATCGTTTAGATGCCAGACAAAAAAAAAAGTCACAACAGAGAGCAATTTTGCAAGTGTTGTTTTTGTAGTGCCAATTATTTAGTGCTGGCAACTGTTAAAGAGATGTTTGTCCAGTACTGAAGTTGATATGGCTCTGAGGAGAAAATAAAGCATTAAATCAGCGCTTGTGTTTTATAAACACTGACAGTTATTGTAGACAGTTTGCTGAGTGCTTTATGTTTCATCACATGCGTGGCTCATAAATCCATTTTATCAAGAGCAAAGTGAGAAGGAATGCAACTTGACAAGCATCTTCCCTCCAAGCCACCAGCAACAAATTGATAAACCAATTCTGAATTCTGTTGAAGCTAACTGAACTAAGTGGTGGTTTTGTTTCTTATCGCAGGTTCAGTTGATCCAAACAGACACATTTTCAAACGAGCTGTTACAAACCACTATGGGTGCAGCCTCCTCCCCACAACGCTTACTGTTTTTTTTTTCCCCCGTGTGCACTTGTTACTGTACCCTACATAAATGGAGTTGGATCTGACATCACATCACGGCTTGCTTTTATTCAAACTGCAGGACAAAAGCTGTTCAGGTGCAGCGTAGCTCCTGTGTGGCTCAGTGGGAGGCAAGGCCTGAGGCAGGCTGCCGATGAGGAGCCTGTTCACATACACAGCTTCCACCACTGGGCTGCCTCTCCACATTTCAGCCCCTCTCTTTCCACGTTAAAAATGCATCCGAGCAGCTGCGGGCCGAGGGAAAGGTAAAATATGAATGACAGCCTACAGTAAACAGCCGCTCTACAGACACAAACACACATTCCTGTGCACAGACACGAAGGGCAGGCACACGGTGATTGAGCTCCGAGGGCAAAGAAAAGTGATTAATGAATTTGACGTCACAGCACGATTAGATAAATTACATAAGAACATAACATGTAGGTCACGTCTAATTTTGGCCATCGGTTGTTGTTCACACAGAGAACAAGTGTGAAATAAACTGGGTCACATTTGCATGCACTTTGCACTCCTGCTGCATTTGATGACCCCAAAGCTTTCCAGAGTATAATTAATTCCAAGGGACAAAACATCACAACACCTTTTCTGCATACAGCATAATATAATCCTTTATTTAATACTTTGATGAAATGGGGCCTTCAGTAGGCCGGAACAGAACATATACACAAAACTCCCACAGTGAATCCAGTCCACATTCCCTTCGACTCTCTCCTCCTCTTTCCTTCCTGCTCATCTCTTGTTGTTGTCAGCTCAGAGAAGAGCAACTGCTATGGAGGTGATGACGGACAGAGCAATAACTGTGTAGCCGGTGCGGTAGACCTCTGGGATTCTGAAGCCTTTGCCAATGTCCCACCACTGATTTAAATAATAATCAACAAGAAAAGAGAAGAGAGAGAAGAACATTTAGTGTAAGAAGGACCAACAGCATTAAAATCTTGGCAAATGGAATATATGGTCTATGACATCAGTAAAATGAGATGACAAAAATGAAAATCATGAATTGCAGAGATCTGTCTTCTTTAAAAAGCTTTAAATCCTGACACCAAACATGGTAATGACAACAAACTACCAAAGAATCTCAAATATAGAGTGGGGAAAAAGGCAAACATTTGCTAGATCTATTAATAAATGAAACTATAAATAAAATTATTAAGTCTTACCAAGTGGCGGATGCCATTATAGGTGTGGAAAGATACAGGGAAGGCGATGCCGAACTTGGCCAACCCAATGAGATAGGGGCCGACGGATAGCGAATGGATCAAGTCCAGGTAGTAGGGGTAATTCCCCGGCAATACCAGCGCTGCCAAGGCAAAGGCTGAGATAGCTAGACACAGACAGAAGTAATGAGACCGGAGATTGGACAAGATGTGGATGTGAATGGGTGTTAAAAGAAAAATGTTGCACATGCATGTTTTTGAGAGAAAGCAATAATTGAGAAATGAACACATGCCAAGGACCAACATGCTGCTACTATTCGATTCAGCTGGATTAGTCTCCATGAGTCACCACATCACCAGACCCCACAGGGCAGTAATTTTTAAACATCGGACTGTGTTATGTAAAGACTTTTGTCCCCTGCTGACTTCAATGAAGGCCAAACAATGGTTCTGTATTGAACAGCCTTTTCATTGGCTGCCTGTTAAAATGAACTACACTCAATGGATCTGTCTAAGCTTCTCTATCTGTGCTGTGTGGATGATTCAAAGACCTAATGGCAGAGGAAATGTTCCTAGTTGAAACACATGGCAGGTGTGAATCAATGTAAACACAAAAGGTAGAGCTGCGCAAAAATAAAGATGCATTGCA